TGGTTTAAAGACTGGAATAAAGAAGATATGCTCACCTGATCCTCCGTCCGGCAGCAATAATCACTCCTCCCCCCCTCTTATTACGCCACACATGTTACATATCGCCGCAAACTTAAAAAGTGAGAGCAATAATATTAGGGCCATTAATCACTGATAACACTAAACTGATGAGCGGTAAAAGCTTTTAAAGCGTCGCCTATGGCCAATTTTAGGTATAGTAGTTTTCTGTGATTTCGCGGGTGCACGCAATTTTAAAGCTTGACATGTTTGGTGTCTATTTACCCGACATGACCCCGTTTTTTTATATTTTATCAAAAAATTGGGTAATGATAATTGTTTAATAACATAACGTGATGAAAACAGGTTTTTTTTCCTAAAATTTTTGAACCTTTTTTCATTATATAGTGGAGGTGCACCGAAATAGAAATGTAAAAACCGAAACAAAACAGGCCGAAACCGAAAATGCTTTTTTTCATTTTTTATACATTTTATTTTTTATAAACTTACATTTTTTTATTTATTAATTCATTTTTTACTTTACTTTTAGGGGCTTCGAGGAAATATTAGGGGTCTAAAAAGACCCCTGATATTTCCTCAATCTCTTTTTCTGTATCCCCTGTTATCAATGAACAGGAATCCTCTATACTGAGTGTTCCTGTTCATTCATAACTTGAGTACATTGTGTGTTTACTGTAACTACAACTATGAATGAACAGGAGGCGAGGAAGATCACTCCCATTCATTCATAATTGAGGATATAGTACACATACAATCTTCTCAATTATGTACAAACACTCAGCGGTTTGTACTTGGCCTCCTCTCTGACACGCTGTCACAGGAGGCTGAGCAAACGGTGCAGGGGGGGGGGGGGTGAGAGCCTCCTGTGACAACGCGTGCTGTCTCCGCCCCCACACCGCTCTGCCGGACTGTGATCGGAGGCTGAGCGGCGTGGGAGGAGAGACACCGTCCGCTCACAGCGCTCTTCTCCTGCAGCGCTCGGCCGGTTGTCACTTTCTCTCCTCCCCGCTGGAACACAGAGCAGCGCCCAGCAGGGAGGAAAGAAAGCAGGGATGCGTCAATGTATCGGCAGGAAAATGGCACTTTCGGCAGTTAGCCAAAAGTGCAATTTTCGGCCGATATGTTTCTGCGTCCGATATATCTATGCATCCCTACTATATAGTAAAGAAATAAAAACCTCAGTGGTAATTAAATACCACCAAAATAAAGCTCTATCTGTCCCCAAAAGCTGATACAAAATTAATTTTAGTACAGTGTTCCATGATGATTAAATGTCAAAGTAACACAGCGCTGAATACTGAAAAATGGCCTGGACAGGAAGGGGGATTAACATCCCGGTCTTCAAGTCTACAGGTTCATAAATGCACAATTTCCCAGCTTCAAACTACAAGCAACGGGCGACACAATGCTCAGGTGTGAACAGGCACCATTAAAGATAATGGGATTCTACATGTTGAGCATTGTCACGCTCAGGGGAACACGTGACAAAGCACTCCACAAATATCTTCCCAGAGATCCTTTACAATAAGAAGAACCTACCAGAATAGAGATATGGAAATAAAGTAGTGACAGACAGTTATGAATGACAAGCCAAGCTCCCCGATCCCTACACAGACAGGTGTATTTGAATGACCATACAGGAAGAGGAGGTATTTGCAGTGATCCTCATAGTGACCAACAAAAGAAATCAGTTGCAGTTTTCAGACCTTATTCATTTATTGCTCCAGAAGTCCACAACACAACAGGCTTCATACAGTCATAAAAGGTATAGAGAAAAACCCTATTACATATAGCTCTACAGTGTCATTTCCAACTACTAATATTGCCATCTCAATTTAGGCTGCCCCCCACCAACAATACTCTGAGAGCAGGTAATGCATACTCTAGCCCAGTGCTGGTTTATAAGATACAGGGTTACAAAAGTGCCAAAGACTGGGTGCAAGGTCTGAAAGGCTGCTTATGGCCCATTCAGATCTCTCCAGTGTGGTGCGTTTCAGGATCACATGCATTAGTGGGTTGCAGTGCCATTTATTGTCCATGGCACCACAACACATTAACCCAGTGTAGTAGGAAACCAGCTGCATCCTTACTGGAATAATAATAAACCTGCAGAGCAGGTGGGTGCTCGTAGCGACCACGGACAGCAACATAAACAATACAGAAGTAGCAAAAATTGTCACCAGCACACCAAAGAGATTTGCAGCAAAAAGTCCTTTAATGACAAATTGCCATTCAGTTACAAAACTGAACTGAAAACTGAACTGAATGGCAATTTGTCACTAAAGGACGTTTTGCTGCAAATCTCTTTGGTGTGCTGGTAACAATTTTTGCTACAATGCATTAACCCGATGCAACTCCGCCGCACATGCATTGCAGCACACCACAATGTACAGTAACACACTACTGCATGTAACATAAAATAAAGGGTGGTGTGTTCTGCTGCATTAGGCAGCCCATTTATAAGCCCTGGTTCACACCTAGGCGTATTGCATATGCGCGGTTGTCGCGATTCACAGTAAAAAAAAAATCGCGTGACAAACGCGCATTTCCGAGGGCTACTTGGCTGTATCCCAATGGAAACCTGCAACAAAAACGGCCCAAAGTAGTACCTGTACCTTTTCAGGCGTGGGCCGTTTTGTAGTGCGTTAGGGACGGGCTGAAATACGCCAAGGTGTGAACCAGACCCATTGAACACAATGGGATTTAGATGTTTGAACGTTTTGTAGAGCGTTCGTCGAGCGTAGAACGCGCTACGAAACGTTCAGGTGTGAACGAGGGCTAAGTCACAATGCATGTGTGCGCACTATTTCAGTGCAACAGTGTGTAAGGCACCTGAATGGGCCCGTAGGCACAGAGCATTGCACTGGGGTAGGCCAAGCAGAGTGTAAATGGGTGCCCTATACCCCAATGCTCAGGTTTTTCATTGGGCTATGTAAAGTATTTTGGTTACAAGTAAAAGAGTTCATGGTAGGATGGGTCACTGGACTCTCCCTGCACCGCAATGTTATTCAGCCAGGTGACAAGTTCACTTCAACATTCTATATGTAATACAGGACACATCTATCTCCTAGTAGAGAGACCATCATACACAAAGATGGGAGGAGGGGCCCCCGAGATCCCGGCCATAACCCTCAGCACAGAGACAGCTCTACCCCAGGTAGGCTGACAAGGTGAGGAGTGGAAGCATGTCAGAGGAAGGCTGCAGAAAAGTTGGTGGCATGTAGGAGGGAGGTTGTAGGGATGCCGGAGTAACATTGGTGGGATATAGGAGGAAGGCTGCAGGGAAGTTGGATGTCGGAGGGAGGACGTTGGAGGAAAGATGTTGGAGGAAGAATGGATGAAAGAAAGCAAGAATGTTGGCGGAAGGAAGCAAGGATGAAGCAAGAATGTTGGCGGAAGGAAGCAAGGATGAAGCAAGAATGTTGGCGGAAGGAAGCAAGCAAGAATGTTGGCGGAAGGAAGCAAGCAAGAATGTTGGCGGAAGGAAGCAAGCAAGAATGTTGGCGGAAGGAAGCAAGCAAGAATGTTGGCGGAAGGAAGCAAGCAAGAATGTTGGAGGAAGGAAGCAAGCATGAAGCAAGAATGTTGGAGGAAGGAAGCAAGGCTGAAGCAAGAATGTTGGAGGAAGGAAGCAAGGATGAAGCAAGAATATTGGAGGAAGGAAGCAAGGCTGAAGCAAGAATATTGGAGGAAGGAAGCAAGGCTGAAGCAAGAATATTGGAGGAAGGAAGCAAGGCTGAAGCAAGAATATTGGAGGAAGGAAGCAAGGCTGAAGCAAGAATATTGGAGGAAGGAAGCAAGGCTGAAGCAAGAATATTGGAGGAAGGAAGCAAGGCTGAAGCAAGAATATTGGAGGAAGGAAGCAAGGCTGAAGCAAGAATATTGGAGGAAGGAAGCAAGGCTGAAGCAAGAATATTGGAGGAAGGAAGCAAGGCTGAAGCAAGAATATTGGAGGAAGGAAGCAAGGCTGAAGCAAGAATATTGGAGGAAGGAAGCAAGGCTGAAGCAAGAATATTGGAGGAAGGAAGCAAGGCTGAAGCAAGAATATTGGAGGAAGGAAGCAAGGCTGAAGCAAGAATATTGGAGGAAGGAAGCAAGGCTGAAGCAAGAATATTGGAGGAAGGAAGCAAGGCTGAAGCAAGAATATTGGAGGAAGGAAGCAAGGCTGAAGCAAGAATATTGGAGGAAGGAAGCAAGGCTGAAGCAAGAATATTGGAGGAAGGAAGCAAGGCTGAAGCAAGAATATTGGAGGAAGGAAGCAAGGCTGAAGCAAGAATATTGGAGGAAGGAAGCAAGGCTGAAGCAAGAATATTGGAGGAAGGAAGCAAGGCTGAAGCAAGAATATTGGAGGAAGGAAGCAAGGCTGAAGCAAGAATATTGGAGGAAGGAAGCAAGGCTGAAGCAAGAATATTGGAGGAAGGAAGCAAGGCTGAAGCAAGAATATTGGAGGAAGGAAGCAAGGCTGAAGCAAGAATATTGGAGGAAGGAAGCAAGGCTGAAGCAAGAATATTGGAGGAAGGAAGCAAGGCTGAAGCAAGAATATTGGAGGAAGGAAGCAAGGCTGAAGCAAGAATATTGGAGGAAGGAAGCAAGGCTGAAGCAAGAATATTGGAGGAAGGAAGCAAGGCTGAAGCAAGAATATTGGAGGAAGGAAGCAAGGCTGAAGCAAGAATATTGGAGGAAGGAAGCAAGGCTGAAGCAAGAATATTGGAGGAAGGAAGCAAGGCTGAAGCAAGAATATTGGAGGAAGGAAGCAAGGCTGAAGCAAGAATATTGGAGGAAGGAAGCAAGGCTGAAGCAAGAATGTTGGAGGAAGGAAGCAAGCAAGCAAGAATGTTGGAGGAAGGAAGCAAAGATGTTGGCGGAAGGAAGGATGTTGGCGGAAGGAAGGATGTAAGGAAGGATGCAGGGATGCTATAGGTCGGAGTATAGGACAATTGTGTACACAGAGCGGGTAGAGGAGTCAATGACAATGGCCCCACCTGCTTGTGTGGTGTCCGTCAGATCATAGCCGCTGCCCGGGAAGTCTCTCAGCCTTCTGCCGCTTAGGTTGAGGTTGCCGGTGGTGAGCGCCTCCTCCAGGGCCCGGTCCAGGCTCCTCACTGTATGCTGGTGAATGGTGCCCGTGCTCCAGTGCGGTCCATGGGGGAAGCTGGGCAACCCCGACATTGCACCCGGGCACATACCGCCCGCCGTACCCAGCAATACCCCTGCACCGGGCACCGCTCCTCCTGGGCTCGGACCGACTCCTCCTTGTCCACCGGTGCCCCCCACAACGGCCACCGCCGCTGTCTGACTCGCCGCCATTTCTGCCAGGGAATAGCCCTGCTATAATGACACCGTTAGCAAGTGCTCGGCACTGTGCGCATGCGCGTCCGCCACTGGGAGAGGGGCCGTACCAACAGCCAGAGAAGGGTGGGCGGGGCGGAATCTTGCACGGGGAAGAAACCAAAACAAAGCCGAGACCGTGACAGGAGAGATGTGAAATCTGACACTGCATGGGGTGCCAGGAGACTGACCAATCCCATGTCATACAGAGAGGAGGCATTTCATCCTCTGAACTAAGGCGTTCATAATAAAAGTCACTCTGAATGGAGAACTTTCATCTCTGATTCCCATCTCCTCATGTAGAATGGAATGTTGCACCACAATAATCACTACATTTGTGCATTGCCTTGAAATCAATGGGCTGCCAATGCACCAAACCGACACAAAAATAAGACGCACCAGAATATGTGTAATGCACCATGGTGGAGTTGATTGGCGTGCCATTCAGAATGCATGTCACTGCAAAGCATGTAATGTGCGTTGCTGCGCATTACTGCAATGCCAATAAATAAAGGCCCTTAAGGCTCCATTCACACGAAGCGATTGTAAATTCAGCGCGGTTTTCCGCACAGCACGGAAAAGTGCAAATTTTAACATACACATGGATTTCCGCACTTTTGCGGCCACTACTGCAGCCGAAATGCACAAAATCTGCCCAGAATATCACACTTTTTTTTGCAATTTTTTCTGCAATGCGTATTTTCGTACCGTGCAGACGTCGCGCAGGTTTGATCCAGGTACATTGTAGATGAAGCCGGCTTCCCAGCCAATCAGAAAGCCGTGGGCCGCATCATTAAACAGCACCTGGCTTCCTGATTTATGTTTAGCGCATATCTGCATGAAAACTGCTGTGTGAACGGCGCCTAAGAGCTGCTCGCATTTTCAAAGCTTAACTAAACAAACTGAAGAGAGAAGCATACAAAATTTAAAAGAGTCATATAAATGGCTCTTTTTCAGATTGGTCTAAGGCCAAGAGTGGCGTGCCCCAGGGTTCTGTGCTAGGCCCCATACTGTTTTATCTGTTTATGAATGATATTGGGGAAAGTGTTAATAGCCATGTCTCTGTGCTTGCAGATGATACTAAAATTGGGAGGGTAGTAGACACGAGCTTAGACATTATAACATTACAGGAAGACCTGGATAAAACAGCGGGCAACTACAAGGCTGATGAGGTTTAATGTTGGAAAATGTAAAGTAATGCCTTTTGGGGTTAAAAACAGGCAAGAAGAACACATATTAATGGGTACTCCGCTAAGGAAGATTTGGGGGGTCATAGTATACCACAGATTGAACAATAGCTTGCAATGCCAGGCTGCTGCAAACAAAACAAGCAGAGTACTGTCTTGTATTACAAAGGGAATGTACTGTAGAGATAAAGCAATAATTTTGCCACTTTATAGATCACTGGTTCGGCCTCATCTGGAGTATGTGGTTCAGTTTTGGTCACCAATCCACCCAAAGGATGTCCTTGATCTGGAGAGAGTCCAGAGAAGAGCAACTAAACTAATTAAGGGCCTGGAGGACCAAAGCTTGGAGACAAGGTTGCAAAATGTAAACTTGTTCACGCTTTCGTCTTGCGATCGCGCTACTAACCCGCTGAAAATCTACGCTTTTCGGACGGTTTTCTAGCGTGCTCGTAAGATGAAAGTCGTGTGACCGTACAGTAAATGCGGTCGCACGCTGCCCATACACTTGCCGATTATTGTACGGTCAAGGGATCACCCGTGATTATCGTACGATAATCGCCAGGTGTACGGGCACCTTTAGAGCGGTTAAAGTCTGGAACTCGCTGCCACAAGAAGTGGTATCAGCTGAGAGAATTGAATCATTAAAAAATCATTTAGATACCGTCCTCAGAGACCATAACATACAGGGGTACAGGTACTTTTATAAACTAGACCACACAGGGACTCATGTGCACACACACACAAACGCACAATCACACGCACAAAGTTTGAACTTGATGGACCTGTGTCTTTATTCAACCTCAAATACTATGTAACTACTTTATATACAGTATATTAGGGATGCACCGATACCGCTATTTCAGTATCGAGTACTCGTACCGATATTTGTTTTCCCATACTCACAGATACCGACTACTGAGTACCGGAAGTCCCATTCGGGAGGCCAGGAGGCGTGCAATGGTTCTCCACCTGGCTTCATGATTAACAGGGAAGACATCCTCATGCTTTAATATTCATATAAAAATGATTACAATACTGTACTGTAATATAATACTGTACAAAATATAAAGAAAATAAACCATCACCGGTTACCTTTGTGGCTGGTGTGAGGGGGACGAGAGAGAGGAGGATTATTGTGTAGGACGACTTTCACCATCACTAACGGAATCACTGTTATCTCTTGACTCAATGGAATCTTTTTCATTTCGTGAAACCTTAACAAGGAATCTATTCAATGTGACATTGCATTGTCGTTAAACAGACTCATCGCTCGTAATCATAATATTTATAAATAGTTTATAATTATTCATTCAACATGCCAACACATACACAGTTTGTTTGTAAACACCAATATACTATATTTGTTTGTTTTTCATGTATACAATTCTATTTTAATAAACCTGTCACTTCCTGAAGCAGAGGAAAGCAACTGCAGCTTTCCAGCTGTAGTGAGACTACTAGTCCCATAAGGCATTGCATAACCCTGACAGCCACAGGCATGACTCCCAGAGGCAGAGGCATGGTGGGATCTGTAGTCTCATCACAGCTTGGGTGCCAAGGTTGCCTACTCCTCTCCTAAAGGCTACAAACTGGTTACATAAAAATACATTACAAATAAAATGCAGATACAAAGAGGTGCATGCAAGACGTTTAAACAATACAAGGACACAGGAGCATCAACACCAGGGCACTCTACTTTGCAAATGCTGTATTCTCCCGATGAACCTGAGTACGATCCACCAATTTCAGCATCTCATATTTCCCCAGGGGCCCATCACTGATGAATGGGCAGTCTTACTGACAATTAGCGAGGTGTGAAATGAGGGAAGGGGGTGAACCAGTGCAAGCCTTCACACAGATGAGTTGGAAGTTGCATGTTAGAGCTCTAAACATAAACAATAGAGATAATGGTTTATGTCCCTGCGAATGATGGAGCGGCATGTTTTCACATGTAGGCCCATAGAGGCTGGAGATATTCACAACAGCCACATCTGGCACGCTGAATCTGTCAGTTATGTATGTTAACTGTGTCAAAGATACGGCTGATTATTCTTATATTGATCAGAACCGTTCAGGCCCCCCTTCAGACTACATATTGCATTAACGCAACACATTACAGTGCGCTAAGGTATATTGCGCTAAGGCAGCGTTGTCATTTTGAGCTGACAGTACGCCTTAACACACTAAACATTGTACATGCACCAGGGATTCCTGCCACAAGGATTCACAGGTTCTTGCCGCAGAAATCTCCCGACCAACATAAAACCCGTGTGAGTGTAGCCTAAGGCTCCATTCACACGGGTGGTCTGATCGGGTCTGCCTGTCAGTTTTTCAGGTGGACACAATTAGATGCCCAATGCTAGTCTATGGGCAGCTGTGTGTAAATGGACGAGCATCCGTTTACACTCGGTTATCCCCGCCTCCATCCAGGTCCAGAAAAACAGACGGATCAGAGATCTGCCTGATATGGGGTAATCTGATGTAAACGGACACATATCCGTTTACATCCGGTTCCCCATAGACTGACATGGGGTCCGGCAGTCTCAGTTCTTTGGAGGAAAAAACTGTACGGACATGGATGTCACATCGGTGACAACTGCTCCGTACTGCTCTGATTAGGAAAGGATCCGTGCACAGAGCCTCTCCTGATCAGCCCGTGTGAAAGGGCCTAACTGTAAGGCTGGGTTCACACTCAGGCGATTGAGCTGGTGAGCTGTTTTTGCGCGGTTGTCGTGTGTTTTCGTTTGTGCAACTGTGCTTTGAAAACAACAAGGTTTTCAATATAGAGATGTCTATGGGACCCAGACCATGCGACAACCGCCCACAAATAGCTCTTGCACCTTTTTGCGCGACAGGCGATTTCACCCTCCGACAAATCGCAAACAGGTGAACAGCCTACATTGACTTCAATGCTAACCTGTGTTTTGCATGATATCGTGCGACTCAATCTGCGTGATAAATCGCCTAGGTGTGAACCTAGCCTATGTGGGTACCATACATTGCAGCACGGCACAGATTTAAATGTCCTCAACTGTGTTTACATGTATTATCTCATACAGTAATCCTTAGGAGTTTCCAAAAAAGTTACAAGGTTAAAACAGTCCTGCAGTGTGAAAATTGGGGGAGGGCAAAATGAGGAAACAGTTCCTTGTGTAGGTGACTGATGACACCATTCTCCCAAGCTGATGATATCAGGCCTAGGGACAGTCAACAAGTATATATTTGTTGCATACATTTGCAAATACATGTGAAGCCACACTGTCTGAGTTCCCAACTATAGGACAAGCAATATAGGCAATGCATAAATTGAGTGGAGGCAGCCCCCTCCTACTAAAAAATGTTCCAAAAAATTGCATGCATTTAATGTATTTTATGCATGTGAATTACCTGTAAAAGGTTAGGCCTACACAAGCCCTGAGACTGTTGCTGGGTGCCACCATATTGGATGTGATGTCAGCAGCTTCATGGCTGTCACTCAAGTGACAATCTATAGTATTTCCCTTGGCCCATGCTGCAGCAGCTACATAACAAAATTACGTAGTGAAGCGAGCATCAGAGGAGCTGGGCCAGTACATATTGTATAGTAAATAGACACTCTCAGAAGAAGAGTGGACTATAATGTGCAAAGAAGGAGGGGGCTGTGCTAGGGAATTGACTCTTCCTGCAGTAATCACATTTTGTTGTTGTTGCAAAGGCATATTGCAATTGATTAAAAAATCATTTATGGAAAGGAAAAACACTGTGACTGAGACCTGCGACTATGAGATAGAGCTACGACTGAGAGCTGTGACTATGAGTGAGAGCTACGACTGAGAGCTGTGACTATGAGTGAGAACTACGACTGAGAGCTGTGACTG